CCACAGAATAAATGTAAATGTATTTTTGGGCCAAAAAAATGCAAATGTTTTTTCTTCCCAAAAAAGGATAAATGCAAATGCATTCTTTATATAGCCTTTCTTATCGATGTACATAAGATAGGCATCAAATGCATTTATATCCATAAACTTATGAAAATGACATAAACTCATGGAAATGTAAGAAACAATCAGTGAAATATTGTACAACTAACAATAAAGCGTAAAAGAATAAGAAAACTAACCTTGCTGCTAAAAAAGTATTGATGAGTTGTCTCTTTTTCATGCTCTCCAGACGATGTAGAAGCAGCGAACGTAACCATATTTTGGCATTCTTCTATAACAATTCTTTCCAAACTTGGAATCTCAAGACGATGACGTCCCACATAGAAACTTATCAAATTTGAACAAGACTTTAGCGTAATGTTCCATAGTCGTGGGAATATCATCTTACTTTCTTCTCCATCTCCCATTATCACTTGCTCCATCATAGCACAGTTCTTTATGCTTATAAATTCGAGTTGCACAAGGCAAAATACCATGGAAGGGGTTAACAAGTATGAGAGCTGGGCACAATTATCGAGCTGTAGATATTTAAGCAATCTGAAATCCAAAATTGCTTGGCGCTTCTCCCTATCATGCCATATTTCAATCAATTCAGGAAAGTCTGACAGTTTCAAGTCCTCTAACCCAGCAAATCCAACCTACCAAGTGTAATGCAAAACATGCTAGATACATTTAACACAATAATTGAAAAATAAAATAAAAAATAAAACCAAAACAATATGTAGCTTCAAATATTTGTAAATCAATTCATACCTTTTCTGTGTGCATTTTTTGTATGGTGGTATTTAAGTCACCTGCCCAAAGCGACTTATCCTCTCCTTCAATTAATTCCACTCTCTGCAATAGCGGTGTGTGTAAGTCTCCCTCACTGAAGATCTTCAATTTGGGGCATTGATCCACAGTTACCATTTCTAAAGATGGGAAATTGAATAAGAATTTCTCCGAACAGAAGCTTCCTAATCTCGGCAAACATATAAGTTTCAAAATTCTTAATTTGTTGAAATTAACAACTGAATCTTCTATTCTAGCTCCTTCGTGTCCAACTATTTCAGTGAGGCTGTTACATTCTCTTATGGTCATATGTTCCAGTTGCACCAGACTTCGGGCCACTGGGACCGAAACCAATGTTGTCATACAATAATTACATTGCGACACAAACAGAGTGGTAAGATCATGGAGAGATATTGTGTTTGATGTTAATAAAGAAGGCACACTATTACATGCCCACACTTCAAGGCTTTGAAGATTTTGAAGAACAGTTGATGAGTCCTGGCTCAATATGTGCTTGAGATTAGGAAGGAAATTCAATCTTAGTATTTTAATCCTTGAGAGTACCTCAGTCTCAACTTGTTTCTCTTGGTCACCAACCTGCTCTCCTTTTGGAGGGAATAACTCTGTGAAACAACAATTTTTCAAAAAAAGCTTCTCTAAATTGGAGAATCTATTGAGAAAGCAGATTGGTAAAATAGCTGACATATCAAGATAGTCTTGAATCTGAAGAACTTTGATATTGA